GAGTCATTAGGGATAATGTGGCGCTGCTGAGTGCCCGGGCCTGTGCTCCATAAAAACAGGTGGTCCCAGGGTCACCCCTCCCTTCTCCTCCCCTCAACTTCTCTACTTAGCATACCTCATGGCTCTCTCCCCTCCTCTCCCCTCCTTCTCCAGCTCCCCCCTTCACCATTCCCTCAGCACACACGGGAAAGGTTATTTGGACAATTGGCGGTGATTAGCTCTTGATTTGGCTCACTCTTTTCGTTTGATCAGGCTGTAGCATGGAGGCGAAAGCCAGTGAGAGAGAGAGGCGCAGCTGTGACTTGGCCACAGCTGAAATTGGGTGAGGAGAACCAGAAGGAGGGGAAGAGAGGAAGCAGATGAGAAGGAGGTAGGGTTGAGGAGGAAGAAGAGGAGGAATGAGGAGTTGGGGGTTTAGGGACCTCTGGGGTCCTTTGCTTTCTTGGCAGTTTGAGTTATGGATTCGGGCTGCTGGCAGAGAAAATGTGAACTGTTTGTCCCTGTTATTCCAGGTGTGGGCCATAGTAAAGAAAAAAAATATCCCCCTCTTTCTTCCGTTCAACCTTTTGTCCAACAACCTGCTTCCATTCTCTCTCAACCTCCCCTGGATGGTGGACTGCAAAAAAAAAAAAAATGTGGGTGCTAACTTATACCTGGCTGGTAAAACGGTTTAGTAAGTCTGCTTTGCCCTAAAGTGTTTGGGGCTGTATTGGGTTTGTTGGCAGAGCTGGATGCTTTGGCTGCATCGATCTTTGGGTTGGACAGGGTTAGTGTTGGGCTTAGGGTTGGCTCAGTGCCTCAACCTGGCTGGTTAGGCCAAGGAATTTTTCTCACAGTAACGGCTGTTCTATCCTTCCCTCCATCCATCCTTTCATCCATCCATCCACTCATACAGCCAGCCAGGCAAGAAGGAAGGCCTCTCACTCTCTGGGTGTTGAGCCAACAAATCCCCATTCCACTCCTTTGGCCTGTTCTCTACACCCATATATCAGGATGATGGTTGTGGAGAACCCGACATCCAGCCAGCTGAACAAAACAGAGATTAAGCACCCACCCGAATCCATTTAATTACTCGTTCAACAGCTCTCGGCATGTTACTCCAACTGCTGTGAGAACTTTGGTTTTCTTCAGTCTTTACTTTTGCTCCCAGCGACCCGGGGGAGGTTGAAGGAGGTGGCTGGTCACAAAGAAATCTTGGCCATGGTTACTCAAATAATCATACACTCAGTTGTTGTTAACTGCATGTTTGTGCCTCTACAATTAAAGGCTTGGTTACCAGCGTGTGTGAGGCTGGGGCTGGAAGCCAGCTGAACCAGTCTGTTTTAACATGACATCACATCTGTACATCTGTAGATACAGAGTTTCTACACTGAGCAGTATAGTCAATGAAAGCCAGCATCACCAAACAGAAAAATTACAATTGGTACTAACACCAGAGAAATATTGTCAATAGTTAGAGCATAACATCTTACTATTAATGGGCTAAGCTACTATTAACATGCTAGCTCTTTACTGCATAATATGAGATACAACACTGTTGCATTTAGGATTGTCTTCAGTGGTATGGGGGTATCCTTTAAATGAGTAATCACTGAATTAAATATTGAGGAAATAATATAGAATTATCATTGGTCGAAATGAGCAGTAAGCAAACAGATTTGATGGATTTGTTTAAATCCAGGAATACAAACTTCTGTCTTGCTGTATTTTAAGCAAGAACTGTGAATTTTGGGAGGTTGGGAGGCCTTGACGAGGGTAACTGAATGTGTGACGAGTTCAAAAGGACGGGGTTACAACCACAGTAGAAGGCATTTGTTTTTTTGGCATCTCTCAGGCGATGTGCAAGAGCCTACAATCAGCAGCTACAATATGGCCTGTTGTCAAAAATGCATCAGTTTGGCAGTGGCGTGTTTGCTTTTGAGATATTGGTGAACCAGGGGCGCAAAAGCTGCCTTTCAATGTGTGTAACAAAACAAACCCAGGCCCAAGAATCAGCTTTTACTTTATGTCACTGCCAGAACTCACAATGATCTGTGCAAGAGTACATGCCGACACACATACTCATTGGCATGATGCATTCCCTAGCCCCTTACCTTAACCTTAAACATCACAGCTGAACGCCTAACCCCACTCTAACCGTAACCCCAATCTAAACTCAATTCTAACCCTAAAATTAAGTCTTAACCCTCAAAAAGCAGCCTCAATTTTATTCCCCATGGTGACACAAGTCTCCATGGGTTAGTGTGTATTCAAGATGAAGTCCTCAGCAGGATATAAAAACATGCACACGCTCACGCACGCCCTTGCACAGTAAGCCTTGAGAGAGCAGACAGGCATATGATAATGATGAGGAAAAATCGCTAGGCTAGCTAATGTGACTGAAACTCCCCTCAGTTCTCATTTTCCTAAAACTACACTGCCACATTTAGTGTGCGTTTGTGTTTAACACGGAGTCTCCCTGGGATGGCTGATGGGCTGAGTGCCAGGAGAGGAGGAGCTGGGTGCTGGGCATCTGGGAAAAAAACCTGAGGGGGGACCCAGGGTGCTGCAGACTGCAGAACAGTCGCATGACCTTTTCTAGAATGCTGCCACCCGCCAACCACTGAAACACGGTCTGGCTAATTAAAGTTTCAGTGGCATTGGATTTTCACTGGCACAGCACACCTCGGGCAACCTTGGGGGCTCTTAGGCAGGCGATACGCACAGAGGGAAGGATGGGAGATGTAAGAAGAGAGAGAGGGAGAGAGAGAGAGAGCGAGAGGAGCCGTGGAAACAGCTGAACCAGGGGACAGCCACTAGAGGACAGTACGACAGATCCAAGCAATAACAGACAAAGTCAGTAGCTTTCCATAACACACAGGAGAAAAGCTATATATTAGAATGCAAATCTACACTCACAAACATGCACACTCCTCGGGTATTTTACATAAGCCCCGACAGGGTTTGCCCTTCCAAATAGTTCTGCTAGAAATATTCAAGATCATATGGAATTAGAAATGAAATTGAAACTGTCCAACTCTGTACAACTGAGTGAATGCTCGAGCTAAGTGAGAGATATGCAATGTCAAAATGCCGAGTGCTTTTCCAAATCTTATCGGGCTGCCTCTCAGGCTAATGGAATTTCGATGGGTCAGTATCAAGAATAAATGCATGACTTATGACATGGCTACCGGGAGCATTACCAAATATACTGGACAGCATGTTCCCGTCTCCAAAGGATCATTGAATAATTGGCCGCGTTTGACCAGGACATTTCTGGAAATATAGCCAAGAAAAGGTTATGCAACCAGACAGACTCATGGCCTGTATTTCACAATCTGCTGGCCTTGTCTCCATTAATGATCTTGACCCCCTTTTCACCATTTTAGAAGTGAAAGGGCCTAATGGAGCCGAACAAAGCTGCTTGTGTGTATGTGTGTGTGTGTGATTGTGTGTGAGAGACAGAGACACAGAGAGAGAAAGAAAGCCCCTGTGACTGTGTGTTACAGCTTGATGAGGTCTTGGTCTGTGATTCCTGGGGGAGGTGGTCCAATCTAAGCTTTATTCGGCCTTATTGAGCTGTGAGCAGGCAGGTGTGTGTGTGTGTGTTTTCTCTATCAAGAGCATTTGGCAGATTTTTATGAGTACCTTTGTGTGTGTCCCTAATATACACTCAGTTGGTAGCAGTTTAATGGGGTGTGCAAGGTATTTCACATGGACCCCTTTTCATGCCTATGAAAGGTGAGCTTTTTAGTTTGATCACTTTGGCATTTAGGAGCTTTAATATGTCATTTGTATATATAATGTATGGCAATGCTCGCCTCCCATATTGACAAATGTGGGGTCTAGACATGTTTTACACTATAAAAATAAAATATTATGTTCAATATATTGCACATAAGTCAAGTTTATCAGAAGTCTTGATTACACACTAGTGCTCTTTGACCTTTTCTTCCAACAGAAGAAAGGTAGAGTAGTGGTTTCTAGTTAAGCAAGAGACTGATTATCTAACTACAGACAGAGTAAAAATCAGCCAGTTCCTGACTGGCGAGCTGACTACGAGTGGTGGCCAGGTGGAACCGCTTAGATTGACATTTGACTCAGCTGTTAGCTTCATGGTTTGATGCCCATAAGCTACAGCTACTGTAAATTCTTCACTGTTTCCAAACGCAAATTGGTTTTCCATCTTGTCTAAGTACAACATCATCAACACAAAGTGTCTCTTGTGTCTCCAATCTGTCAGCGATTTATTCAGTGAGATACTGAAATATGATCTTGTCAGGGGAATCTCCCAACTCGACTTATTTTGACTGTGGGACAAGCACAAAAATTTTCTCTCTACATTAAACATCTTTATCATTTTCAACTTGAGAAATTGTTTCCATTAAATGCTTTTAAAGATGACAGTTTAAATTAGCACCTCTACTGGATATATGTTGACTTTTCTCCCATAATGATTATATACAATATCAACTCTGACAAAAATGGGCATGATGATAATTATTAACAAATGATCATTTAAACATTTACATTAACATGGAACATATCGAAAGATTAATGTGGAAACATAAAGTTTCCACATTAAATAAATTAGTGTGCAGGACACTTATGTGGCCTATACTAACATTTGAGCTGGGAGTTGGATAATAATACATATACAGAGGCATACTGTACTGTACTGTAAAAAACATACAGACATCAGAACAGGGTCATTATGAAAACATTGATGCCACCTAATTTCCATGTCACATGACACAGGAGGCACATACGGGAAAGTAGAACGCTCCTTTTCAAGTCAAGTGAGCTAATTAGCCATCAGGCAGGCGACAATCATGGTCACATGTTGCACTTTTTGTTGTGTTTTATTTGGGACAACACTACCCTATCGAAATTCACGCACTACGCCAGTGAGTATACGATGTACACAGTGTACTACATGTGAGTGTACTGTCTTAAGTACCTGCTTTGAGACACAGCAAGTGCAACCTCTGTATTTAATGATAACGGTTCCCAGTACTTACGGTTGGCAGAGTTTGATGAGGTCCTGGTCGGTGGTCCCAGGTGGCAGGCCTCGGATATACAGGTTGGTCTTACTCAGCTGCTCCGCTCCTCCCTGGCTGCAGCTGTTGGTGCTAGGGCTGGGAGGAGCCATTGGATGAGGGGGTGGAGCATAGGGCTGCTGGGAAAAGGATAGAGAGAAAGCGAAAGATTCAGCACAAACAATCAACAACTAAACATAGTTATAATTTTAACGACATGGGACAATAAGTGAAAAAGTTAAGAACACAGAGGTGACGGTGTGAAAAGAAACAAACGCTAACATTTCTCAGGCAGCAGTAGACAATGTGAGGGAAGGAGGGAGAAAAATATATCATCTTCAGAAACAGCAATCGCTACCAGTTGAATGTTATTGCAGCTATGAGAGTAGACATTTTATGGTAGATAGAAGAGAGAGAGGAGATGAGATCAGGGTCACTAAGAGATGAAGACCCAGCAGCAAATATTAATGATTAAAATTTTAGGAGAACAAACATCTAACCTCAGTCTCAAAGAATAAGAATAGTACAGAAAGAAGGTCTGCACAGTAACAAAAAAAGTAAAAAAAAAAAAAACTCTTCAGATGAGTTCATGGAAGACACTTTCTGTATCTGTATATTGACTTACTCTTCAGTTTTTTCACTTTAAATCACTTTTTGTCAACCAGTGATGCAATAAATTGCATCTGGTTCTTTGTCACTGTGCTTGTCTTTTATCCAAACATGGGAACGGAGTCAAGGGTGCAAACTTCTCTAATCTTTTTATTTTTTTTATCTTAAGTAAACATTTCACTAGGGATGGTCTGCGAAATTAGGGTTCATAAGGCATCCAGCAGCTTATAAACAGTTTTAAATGATGGCAACTTCCTGCTTACTATTCATACCCTCAAAACCAATTTCATTACACTGTAAAACAATTTACACCTCCAAGGGTGTGATATCTTGATGCAGTAATCCTCTCCAGCCTATTTCATAAACATCTCAATATGAATGTCTTTTTTTCAGTATAATCTCTATCATCCAAAATGTATTCAAAATGCATTAGATATGTGACCCCCCCCCCACCCTTTCTTTTTCTACCTCTCTTTCCCCTCCTCAGCTCGCCTCATGAGCCAGTTGTGCTGTTAGTGTAGATTTATGGTATAGGAGTCAGGGCCCCCTGCTCACAGCCCATTTATATCTCTATTGCAGGGACACTGCACATAGTGACAGAGAGAGAGAGAGAGGGAGAGAGAGAGGGAGAGAGAGAGAGAGAGAGAGAGAGAGAACCGGAGCCCTGTAGGCATGAGCGGAAAGAGAGAGAGAGAGAGACGGAGAGAAACATTAGGAGAGAGTGAGTGAAGAGGGAAGAGAGAAGGAGAAAGAGACGATGCACACTGCAATAAAGTAAGTGAGTGATGGATGAAACAGAAGAAGAAAAAAGAAATGGCCGTGGAGAGAGTGGGACATGACTAAATACCACCACCAGCTCCAGTTAACCACGTTAACCCTTTACCCTCCCCAGAGAAAACCTCAAGACCTCATACCGTGCGTTAAACGCGCACGCGCACAAACATGCACGCGCACAAACACACACACACACACACACACACACACACAAAACACACCATTAGCCCTCCAATCCGGCCTACACGTTAGCAGCCGCTGCCGGAGCATGGCTGATTTGATGCGCTATTTTAAGCGTGTGTGCAATGCCAGCGTGTCGCCTCCCACTCCTCTGACAAAGAGCCGGGGTCCCTGAAGCGTGAAGAGGGAGCCACGTCCATCAATGGACGGCTAATTACCACGCTGAGCTAAGTGGAACTGATGGGCAGCCACTCGCTGTGCTGGACGAACGCATACTGTACACACCACTACCGGTGCGCGCACACACATGCCGCCACATGATAACACAGAAGCACCTTTTTCACACAACAGCCATGTACAGTGAACCCATCGCCACAGCTGTTTTACGTCCTCTGGGGCAACTCCAACTCAAGTCTCATGTAATTCGGGAGAAGTCTCAGATCCTGTGCGCAAGTGCGCGTCAGGTCAGGTCTTCATGAGAAAATTCAAAGTAGGGATTAAAGGTCTCTGAATGCTGACCTTTAAAACAGCTTGGCATGTGAACACTCTGATTTCTAAGCTGTTAATGGAGTCATTCATATAGCTGAGACATTGAAATCCTTTCAGGGCACAGGCCAAATAAGTGATGTGGGGTAATGGAAGGTTTGTTGTTGATATTATATTTGTTTTGGTTGCTGTGAATTTTACCAGGTCAAAACCTGAGAGTTAAGAAGTGACCTCATCCACTCTCTCCTCATTATCTAATAGAGCCATAAAATAAAAAAAAAAACGAGAAAAAACAAAAAAACAAAAACATGAGCGTTGTTTTTCCTCAAGTCAAGTTTTCACTCAGTTACTTTAATCCCCCAGCAGCTATAGTCAAGTTTCAAGTTGTCATTTTTCTGATTTAAGTCCAAATCTCAAGTCTGTAACTTTAGTCGCCAAACACAGACAAGTGGACAGCAGACACACACTCCCACACATATTCCACTTTACCTCCTCCTCCAGCAGATGCCTCATACTGATTTGGTAGCCTTGGTTGCACAGGCTAGAATGAAAAAAAAAAGAAAAAGGAGAACCTACTCTCCAGTCGTTCACTTTTCCATGCTGCGGCAGAAGAATAGAAGAATCTTAATCTCTTGAGTGCTTCATGGGAGTTATTCTCTTCCACTCAGTTACAGGAGCGTGCAGAGATGCAGTCCATGCCTCGACTTTGAGGCTTCCACCTTGCGTCCCCCTCCCCTCACCTCTTTGTTTTATTTTTCCCTAGTCCAGTGTAGCTGAAATTATACACACAGCACTTAACAAACTAGGTGACACATACAAATTCACCAGCACAAACAGGAGACACTACACAGCGTTGCTGTCAGCGCTGAAGGTTAATTGAAAGCCTCTCTCCCTTTCACAGGCTTTCTTTCTTTGTTTTAGCCCTTCAGTAATATACACAACCCTCCTCCTCATCCTCCTCCTCCTCCCTCGGCTCCAGGCTTGGCTTGCATCCTGGGCTTTGGAATTCATGTGTCCCGCCCTATCGATTTGCTTTCATTTTTTAAGGTCAGGAGCTGAAATCTTACACAATGAGGCATGGAGGGTCAGAACCAGCCCATTACTTACAGTGTTGGGCGAGAAGGCAGAGAGCGAGGTTATCCAAGGGGAAAGAAAAAGGCCGCAAGAGTCCCCCGGGAAGAAGGATGGAATGGGTGCCGAAGGTCTCAGAGGAATGGAGACTGTTGGGTGGTGGGATGGGGTGAATGGGTTTATTCTCGCATTCTTGAGGACTTAAGGATTTAATGGTGGTTTTTTGTTTTTATTTTATTCTTGGCAAAATGAATAAAGGGAGTATTCTTGTACTGAGGAGTGCAAAAGTTTAGATAAGTAGGATAAGAAAAATGGACAAGAATTGCCTCAGCAAACAGGCTTTTTCAAGCTGTACAGCACATTTTTTTTCCTGCTAGCGTCATGTATGTATGTACATGCATTTGGGGGCTTGTAAATGAGTGTGAGAGAAATTAGCAGACACACAAATGGCTGTTGCTTCAACACATAAGCACACATACACACACATTACCACCATAATGTTCCCCCCTCTCTTTTTTTGTTTTACATCAAGTTCTCTCTTGACTTCCTCTGGTCGCCCAACTGGAGGTTAACAACCGAGCATGTTTCTCTTTCCGGACGGTTTCGTGACTCTGTTTACCCTCAGCCTGTCAAGTCTGTAGGATCCAGCTTCTCAAATATATATAATAAATACAGGCCTTGTGTGTCAGAATGATGAGGATTGAATACGGCACTTGACAAAGCGCATTTCAGCAAGAGAGGGGAGGGAAAAGGAGATTGAGGGAAAGAGAGAGAAACAGAGAGAAAAAAAAAAGCAAGATAAAAGGAGTAAAAGGGAGAAATAGAAGAGAGTGTGGGAGAATAGCTGGTTATGACACTTCAAAAACCTCCAGGTGGTAAATGAGAAAAACCTCCATTCTCCCTCCTCCCTACCCAGCTGTGACATGCTGCTACAGAGGCTTACTGGGGATTTCAATTTGCTGCACTGTATTTTAGACGGGCAGAATGGTTTACACAGGCCCAATTTACTGAGCCAGCCGTGCAGGGGGGTTCACAGCCTCAGTGACATGCCACAGAATGTTTATGAGTGTATTATGTGAGGATGATAAATCTAGCGTACGATACATAGGCTGAGGGCGCGCAGCGCTGCGCTGTATATTCATACACCCGCACAAGGACAACACACCCTCTCTGTCACTGAAAGTAATATGTACAGATCTGAACCAGCTGTGTCTACTGTGTTTCTTACATGGTCATTCAGCATCTTCACACCATATTAAAACTTTATGGCATTATGTGAATGTTCACATGCCATCGCCCCTGGTGTTAACAGGATTTTAAATTGTTTATTTAACTTTATAAATAGGACAACTCTCTTATACTAAAAGGAAATGAAAAGGTGGTTTTCACAAAGGGGGAGTGTAAAAGAACAAGTGTTTGTGGGAAAAAGGCAATAATTGTAATTGACATTCAAATTTCAAGTTTAATGATATGGCATCTCTGCAGGGAGCTCCTGCTAAGTTTGGTTTCCCATTTGTCAAAGTTGATTATATCTTCAGATAAAATGGTTCCTTCATTGGTTGTATAAAAATTGTGGAAAGGTACCATGTGAGTACACTAGGGCTGGGACGATTATCCGACGTAATCGACGTTGTCGATTATAAAAATTATTCGACGTGGAATTTTAGTGTCGACGCGTCGTGTAAAACCACACAGGGTAAATGTTCATAGAACAAAACCGGAACTTTCTAATGGGACCGTTTATATCCATCGTCTTTGGTTTACCCGGATACAAGCGCAGCGCAAGGGCTGGGACAACCCGGTGACGTAATTGAAGTCATTGACTACGTGAATGATTTGCGTCTGTGTAATTTATTTGAACAACATGGCGGCGTCTACCAGCAGTACGACGGAGCGTGTGGAGCAACACGCGGGAAAAAGGCTCGCACATTGTCCTCCAAAGTTTGGGAATACTTTAATCTTGACACCAACAGCGCGGTAGTCTGCAGACTCTGCAAAAAAAAAATCGTTAGATTAGTCG